ACAAAAGTTTATCATTCATAACTTTTTTTTTTTGGTCTCAAATCCAACCTCCACCACGCACTCTGTACCAACCACTTTCCCTCCCTTACTGTCACTAGGAGCCACCCTGATCCTCTCCACCATCATATCTTCAGATATCTCAACGTCTGCCATAAAATGCAGACACTCAGTGGGGCCAACGGGTGGCACGATGGTTAAGATTTGAGTCCCAGGCTGGAAGCTTGAAACACACCAAGTGGCAATCCCCCCACTGCGGGGTGATTTCTCACTTTCTCTTTCTTTGTCTCTCACTGTCTCTCTGGTGAGCACAAGCAATCTATAGCAAAAATCTCTCAAAAAAAGAAAGACAAAAAGGCACTCAGTACAAATTGAGTGGGGATATACAATGTGTATCTTTCAAAATTGGGTTATCCACTCAATATTAACTCTTCTACATTCACCCATTTTGAGTCAAATAATAGGATCTCATTGTTTCTCATAGCTGAGTAATATTCCATAGTATATATATAATGATTTTTCAATCCAAACATCAGTTTTTGGACACTAAGGTTGGTTCCATGTTTTAGCAATTATGAATAATGCTGCAATAAACATGCGTGTGCAAACAATAATTTAAACACACACACATGCCTGTGAAGTATCACACATACAGAAACATGCACAGAAGGAAAAAATACCATTTAATGGATGATCTAAAAGTGAATGTTTGTTAAACAAAATGGAGGTCATAGAAAAAAAAACACTAATATTTTCAATAACGGTTCTACTTCCTGTACCATATGGTGTGTTCCTTCTGGAGACAACTCTCTTTGTCCTCCCAAAGTAACCTCTATCTTGACTTTTATAGTAATCATTCTCTACTTTTCCTTGTGCATCCTTAAACACAATAGCTTACTTTTATCTAGTTTTTTTATTTTAACTTTTTATAAATGGTACCATGTATCTCTCTTCTTTTGTTCCATATTAAATTTTTGAATTCTATTCATGGTGCTGCAGTTATCTGGAATACTATAGTGTATGTGTGAGTGTACTGTAATTTACTCATCCATCCTACTGTCAAACATTAGGTGATTTCCAGGTTTAGGCACACTCAAAGCTTCCATAAGCAGTTCTGTGTCTGTCCCCCAATGCACATATTGGATATGTACTTAGAAAGGGAATTAGAGATCATCAGTTAAGTGTGATAGAAAATAATAGTTCTCTAGAATGATTACACCAGTTTAACTTCCGATAGTAGTGTATGAAGTCCTTGTTGTTTTACATATTGCCAAGGCTTCGTATTTTCAGTCTTATTAAATTTTAGCTATGTTAGTGGTTGTGTGGTTGTGTAGTTCTGTGCATGTTTGTCTTTAATTTGTACTACTTCGAGTGTTAATGATATGTAGTATCTTCATCTGTTTATTGGTTCTTTGAATAGCTTTTTTGTGTGCATGTGAAATCTTTCTCTGAGTTACTTTCTATTTTTCTACTGTAATATCTGTCAATAACTTGTAGATATTCCTTATCTATTTTGGATACATTGTCTTTATTAATCATCTGTATTACCAATATTCTGAAATTTTCCTATTAACTCTCAATTTATTTTTTATTTTTGTCCAGTCAGACTTATCATTTTTCCCTTTATGGTAAATACTGTTTGGAATCTTATTTTTTAAATCTTCTTTTATTCTGAACTCATGAAGATTTACTTCTATATTTTCTTCTGAGAGTTTTTTAGAGTTTTTTTAACAGTTTTATTCAATCTACATAGAATTTATTTTTATTATAAAGTTAAACTGGATTAAGTTTCCATTTTTTTCTTCTTTTTTATATGAATTTTCAGTTGTCTCAGCAGTGTTTGTTGAAAATATCACCCTTTCTATAATATTCTACCAGTCTAACTCAGTGATAATATGCAAATATAAAATGAAAGTGGCCTGGGTATACCATAATTTGTTTCCAGGCTTATATTACTGAGCATTTAGATTTTTCGTTTTTAATATTAAGAACACCAGTTTAACTTCCGATAGTAGTGTATGAAGTCCTTGTTGTTTTACATATTGCCAAGGCTTCGTATTTTCAGTCTTATTAAATTTTAGCTATGTTAGTGGTTGTGTGGTTGTGTAGTTCTGTGCATGTTTGTCTTTAATTTGTACTACTTCGAGTGTTAATGATATGTAGTATCTTCATCTGTTTATTGGTTCTTTGAATAGCTTTTTTGTGTGCATGTGAAATCTTTCTCTGAGTTACTTTCTATTTTTCTACTGTAATATCTGTCAATAACTTGTAGATATTCCTTATCTATTTTGGATACATTGTCTTTATTAATCATCTGTATTACCAATATTCTGAAATTTTCCTATTAACTCTCAATTTATTTTTTATTTTTGTCCAGTCAGACTTATCATTTTTCCCTTTATGGTAAATACTGTTTGGAATCTTATTTTTTAAATCTTCTTTTATTCTGAACTCATGAAGATTTACTTCTATATTTTCTTCTGAGAGTTTTTTAGAGTTTTTTTTTTAACAGTTTTATTCAATCTACATAGAATTTATTTTTATTATAAAGTTAAACTGGATTAAGTTTCCATTTTTTTCTTCTTTTTTATATGAATTTTCAGTTGTCTCAGCAGTGTTTGTTGAAAATATCACCCTTTCTATAATATTCTACCAGTCTAACTCAGTGATAATATGCAAATATAAAATGAAAGTGGCCTGGGTATACCATAATTTGTTTCCAGGCTTATATTACTGAGCATTTAGATTTTTCGTTTTTAATATTAAGATTGATAGCAAACCTTATTATATATATATTTTGTGGCACTTGTTTAATCATGCAGAAATTTATAGGATAAAATTATATTTAATTCCATAGGATGAATACATAGCAATGGCTGTCATTTTATGGTATTTGTACTTATATAAGGTTTACTTTAGTTTCATATAATTTTTTTTAATAGTAAACCAAATTTCTTTAAAGCTGTTTCAAGCAAAACCAAGAGGGAGACAATTAAAAGAAAGTTCTCGATATTACAAATTCCCTGGATTTGACTTGACTTTGAGAGACTATTTTATGTATTAAAAGCTACTGAGACATCCTTAATAGTTTAGTGCTCAACAACTCAAAGCATGGTGCCCAGGCTAGCAATGTCTTAGCAACACCTGGAGCATGCCGTAAGTGCAGAATCTCCATCTGGACACCAGTCTGCTGGATCAGCAGCTGCATTTAACACAATTTGCCAATGAACATTAAATTTGAGTAATACTGCTTTTTGATTGTTAGAGGGCGCATGTGCTTACCAGAAAGAGAGAGAGAGAGAAAGGGATGAAGAGAATGCACCCCCTTAGGAGATGGTATGCCACAATCTCCTCCATTTCTCCATCATGTTCAAATTTTGAGCATGCATGCACATGTGCCTAACATAGTTTGTTGTTGTTGTTGTCGTCATTTGTTTGTTTGTTGTTGTTGTTGTTCTTTTTTGCTATAAGGCACATGTGCTTGCTTAAGAGACAGAAACATAGAAAGTGAGAAATCAATCCCCTCCCCCCCAGGGAGGATGGCCAGAAATCCTTTCTCCTCCATTCTCCTCTTGGGATGTTGGGCATACACGCACACATGCACCTGGCGTGAGTTATAAATCACTGGGTCAGGACTCGAATCATGGAGGACTACATGGGAGTCCAGCAACGTAACTATTACGCCATCTGCTGGTCCCAGCCATGCATGTTTTTTTAGCCACCTGGGCTGGGATTTGCACAATGGTCAGCCATGTGAGATCTAGCTCCCTTAACCACTAGGTCAGGGAATAGCCTAAGAAACAATGTTTTAACACATGATGTGAGACAGAACAGATGCTAGTAACATTTTTTTTTTTCCCTAATGAGAACTTGTTACAGAGAATCATGCGAATTTATGTGATCTTTGTAATATGTGTAGAGGTTGTAAGAATTTAGAACTGTGATTAAACTGAGTGAGGACAAAGGTTGAGCAACTTTTCCAAGGTCACAATGCTCTCAAGCTTGGTGGTCTTATCACATTTGATGTTTCTTCAAAACTCTTATGAAATATTGGCAAGAAGAGAGCAGTCAAAACTACACAATCGATTCTGGTGATCTGAATAGAGCTTTTGTAAAAGTATGAATAGTCTAAATGCAAACTTGACCCACCTTTTTTTTCACAATAGTTGATGTAGACTCAAAATGTTAGCTGGAATTTGAGTTCTTTTTTTTTTTTTTTCCCTATTTGCAGGCAATAGAATGATCAAAAGTATGAAGCTTCTCACCTAAACCTGTATCATTGGAAATTGGTTTCTTGTATCTCTGTGAAATTTTCATTCCTAATCGAGGGTTCTAACACATGGGGATCATGTCACTAACTGCACTTTCATGAGTGCCAGGTCTGTGGTTGTTATGTATGAAAGTTTAAGATGTGTAAGTGCTTCACCCAACTCAGTACAACTTGACCTGCTGGAGGAAGTCACAGATGGCCAACAAGGAGGCCTAGAAGTTGAAATGATACTCTCATCCAAGTTCATGTCCAAGCAAATCTGAGACTACATCACAGCATTAATCTTCAGCATGTCTTGTGAGGCACACAGGGAGTCTTACTCATATGATGCCTGGTAGTGTGGAGTGTGTAAGAAGGGGCAGGCAACACAAAAGAAAGAAAAAGCTCTAGAGGGACCAGCAGATGGCATAGCGCTTATGTCACTAGACTCCCATGCAGTCAACCACAGTTTGAGTCCCAGACCTGGCAACTTAAAACTCATACCAGGTATGTGTGTGTGCATGCATGTGCCCAAGATCCTGGGAGGAGAGTGGAGGAGAAGGGATTGTGGCATGGCCATCCCCCATGGGGCTGATTTCTCACTTTCCCTCTTAGTGTGTCTCTTTTCCCCCAGCGAGTGCATGTGTCGTAAGGCAAAAAACTCTACAGGGAAAAAAATAAATAAATGAAAGAAAGTAAAGGCTGTAGAACATGTTAGTAATTTTTTCTCCCTCTTTTTCCTTTGTGTTCCCAGTCGCCAGGACCTTCAGATGGAGATTTCCATTCTCCAGGAGCAGATCTCTCACCTGCAGTTTGTGATTCACTCCCAACATCAGAACCTGCGCAGCGTCATCCAGGAGGTCAGCTCAGTCAGGAGCGTTTTTCTGGCAGATGGACTGTTCAGTGTTGAGACCAAGTACGGTGGCTCACCCAGACTTTTGGAGCCATGAGAGTTTTCTCCCTGTTGATACATCCTTTTGTTTCTCGTGCAACACGGCTCTGTTTCAAAACCCTCTCCCACATGCAATGCCAACACCTGTAATGTTAGTAATGACAGTTTGGGAAATTGTCTTTAATTGCTTTTCAGACATCTCTGTGATTTTTTGAAACGTCTTCTGAGCCAGATAATGTACATGTTTTTAAGAAGATTTTGTAGACCAGTTGATTCAACCCTTTTTGAGTAAGAAAATATCATTTTTATAACCTCAAAAACAGTAAAATGATTTAAGAAATGTTTTTGGGTATGGATGTAGCCTGGTACTTCTTCCCTGGCAACATCCTGGCAGGTGAGAAGGAGAGGTGATTGTGGTACACAATTCTGTAAGAGTATTTATTATCTACTTCAAGGTATGTATTGATCCTGTTTAGAGGATCTGCTATAAATTAATCAGACCTCTATTCAGTTATTTTATTACCTAATATTGGTTTCCAGAAAGAATCTTCCTAAATTACTACAATATCTTCCTGACATCAGTGCGGCTTTGGTGCTGCTCAGCTGTGACATCACCAAAGGGCCAGAGAATTGAGCAGTGGGCATTGGGAGCCAGAAGAGGCATCTCATGCTCTCATTTTACAGCTGAGGAAACAGATGCAGGGTGGTTCAATGGCAGAGCTGGCAGTGGCAGAGTAGGCCTTAGAATTCCCGTGTCCTCTCTGTTTGGACTCTTTGCACCTCATCACCCCACTTCCCAATTCCAGGTTGTCTCTTGGCAAGGCAGGTTCGCCTCATTCCGCCACTGGTGGCCACATGCACCTCAGGAAGCCCCTCCCCGCAAGCCAGTGGCCCTGTGTCTCTCCCCCCGGTAGCCGCATCTGTAGGCTGAGAAGATGACTTTAAGCTGAACCACAAAGGGGTGACCGGTGCTGCTTCTGCAGACGTGCTTCTGCTGGACTGGGTTTGCACAGGGCTCCAGAGGTCAAGTGCACAACAGCACCATCTGAGTGTCCACCCCAAGAGCAAGCATGGCCTGCTGTTTTCTGCAGCCTGTGGAGTCCACTAATGTTTTGGGACTCTATTTTTTATTAGATGAACACCATGTGACTTCAGAAAGCTGTATAGTTGCTGACTTTATTCCTCGTGGTCTGACAAGATTTTTCCAATTGTGTTTCTTAATTCTCAGATGGATGTATTAAAAAATAATTTAAAAGAACAAGATAAAAGAATTGAAAACCTGAAAGAAAAAGTTAACATACTTGAATTCCAGGTAAGGAGGGAATCAATTTTACATTTCAGTGTGAGTGTGTGTGTGTGTGTGTGTGTGTGTATTAGTGATCCAGAGTATGAATGTGTGTGTGCTTATGAGTAATTATTTGCCTCTGTTTAACACTATTTTTGTGTATACCTTGTGTAAATAGACATGAGAGTGTGTGTGTGACTGTGTCTGAGCATTTATCTGTAAGTTTGTGTGTGTACAAGTGTCTTTTTTGAGTCTATGTATGTGCATCTTTATCAGTAAGAAGTTATAGCTTTGGGGAGAAGTACTTAAAATAATTGTTAAATTATCAAGTATGGGCCAGCAGGAGGCATAGTGGTTAAGTTACTGGACTCCCACGTGGTAGAATGTAATTTGAGACTCCACCCTGGCAGCTCAAAACTCACGCCGGGCGTGTGTGCGTGAGTGCCCAAAATCTCAAGAGGAGAATGGAGGAGAAGGGATTATGGTATGGCCATCTCCCCGGGGGGTAATTTATCACTTTCTGTCTCTGTCTCTCTTGCAAGGACACATACCCTATATAAAAAATCTCTCAAATGATTATTATTATTGATTGTAAAATATGTTATTATATTATGAACTATTGATATTTTTAAATTTAATGTTAAATGAATACTATTAAATCATTATTAAACATTCATCCAAATTTTTCAGAAAACTTGCCAAATTAGGGAGACAGATGCTAACATCTGTCTGCATGGACCTGAAGTAAAAGCTTGGTCAAGGCCACTCGTGGGTAGATTCCACGCAAGCCATGCAGTCAGGCAGTCAGGCTTCCTGTTTCCTGCCTTTGTTTCCCATAAGTTCCTTTGCCGGCCTAAGATGCCCTCTGGCCCTCTCTTCTTCCCCATCTATCCTGGCTTCTAAGCTATGCCTCAGGGCTCATCAATGTCCAGAAGCCTGTTGTAATTGTCTTGCTTTTTAGAGTTTTAAAGCCTAGCACAATACTTTCTAATACTGTGGTCAGACATGCTTTTCTTTCTGCCCACATGTTCCCTGGTGCCCTTTCAGCTGCAGTCCGAGGCTGGCAGTGCCGCTTCCTCACAGGAAGTGCAGCGAAGGCCCGCTCAGGTTAGGGTGACTCCGAGGACCTCCCAGGCACCTCCACCTCAGCTCCATTGCTTACTCAGGGTCACCCCTTCTACTTGTATCAAATGGCTCATCACTGACTGCTTGCACATGGTCACCTTTTTTACTCTGTCCCTTGCTATTTCAGTTTTCTGCTTGTTGTCTGACTGCCAGTGTTGTCTGGTCCTGCGGAGCACAAAGGTGCTCTGACTTCTGTCTCCTGGAAACTTTCACCACCCGTTGGGACTTTCCTCCCAGGACAGACCAGCAGGAGTGCGTGCTTGTCCCCAGCACATGCTTGTCCACCTCCATCTTCTTTCTGCTTGCCCCAAACAGAAGATAAAAAAAAAAAAAAGAAAAACACTTAATGACATAAAGAGATTGTGAATATTTTCACATGTTACATTTCGTAGCTCTGTTGTCCATTTCTGCCTTCCCAGAGGACGGCTGTTCTTGTATCCTGGAGGATAGAGCTTGCTGAGCCTCTTGTTCCTTAGCAGGCACTCGCCCCCTAGGGGTTGTTTAGGACATTGCTCTCAGCTCTGTCCAGCTCAAACTGCAGTGACAGTGGAGTCATTGGCTCAAAACTAGTGTTCACTCATTTGCCCAGTAATGGCTTGTTAATTTGTGTCAGGAGAGCTCCAGATTATATGACTAGTGCCCCTTTGGGGTTTCTTTTTCCTAAGAAATACTCTAAAGCTATTTCTTCACAGCCTTTCTTGTTTAGTGGCCCTTTGGGGCAACTCTTACTTAATAAAGTGTTTTCTAACATTATTATGAGAGGATACTTCAAAAACTTCATGGGAAATGGAATTAAACTGCTCATTTTGGTGCAGAAAAATTTGAAATACATGCATAGCTCTTTCATAATATGTATTTTCATAAATTTTTTTGACAATCCCTCCTGTGTGTGTGTGTGTGTGTGTGTGTGTGTGTGTATTTCTTATTTTTTTTAAACTGACATACGTTTATTCATTTCCTCTAAATTAAGACATTTGGATAAACAAATAAAATTAGAAATCATTTATAAAACTACCATTCATAGACAACCACTCAGCTTGTTTGGGAATATCTGTATTTCTGTGGGAATCTGGCTGTCAATTACATAATTATGTGTTTATATTAAAGACAGAGAATATATATGTATACGCACATGCACACACACACACACATATATATATAGCATCTTCTATTTCTATTGTAGCACACACACACACATATATATATATAGCATCTTCTATTCCTATTGATTTTTAATTTTTTAAACTTTTACTCATTTCATTCCTTTGTTCTTATCACCAATTTGTAATTATTCCACAAGTTACTTATGGAGTGGGGCCACTGTGATACAGTCACTAAATTCAGGAACACAATGTTGAGCAAAATAAATATGAACTCTGTACTCCAGAAGTTAGTTGCTACACACTTATTCCAGACTATGTTCTTATATTGGAAACTGTCTGCATGCGTATTTGTCTAGTTTGGCTCCGATATCTTGTAACTTTAATTATTGTACATCTGTAATCATTTTAATTGGAGAGATTGTTTCGGAGTTGACATCTTTCTCTGATCTCTCACTTCATTATGGCTTTGGGCTCTGGTCATAGTTAAGTGCCGACTCTCATCACAAAGTCAAGGTATCGGTGGTGCTACTGTTTCCAATTCAATGTTACATTCTCTCTTTGTGCCTGTTGTTTTATATCATCCTAAAGCAGATTTTTATTTATTTATTTTTTTGGCCTATATAAGCCTACAACTTCACCCAGATACTGGGCACTATCTCATTGTTCTTTTTTTTTTTTTTCTTGTTGTTGTTGTTGTTTTGTTTTGTTTTTTTGAGAGAGAGAGAGCAGGAGAGAGAGAGGGGGACTCTAAATAGGGATTTATGCCATGACCCCCTCCTCAGTCCTCCCAGCTAATCAGACTCACTGGTGCCTATGCTCAGTGTAAAAGTCACCAGGGGAACCGAACCTGTGTCTTTCACATGGTCCAAAATTGCTGAGCAGTGAGTTACCACTGAGCTACTGGCTGGCCCCAGCTGGCCTTCTGATCCAAGAGTTAGACCATGAGAATACATTTGTTAACATTGTGCTCTGTTTGTATATTCCAAAATATAGCAAATGGCTTCTAACTAGCCAGCCACCGATGAGGTACAACACGGCACCAGATTTAGGAACCCCTCCTGGGACTTCTTGGTTTGCTGCAGTCTCTCTGCAGTGTGGTGACTGTCCCTCAATGTTCTCCTATGTTCTCTGTATGTAGCTCAACTCAAGCCAGTGTTTCCTACTATTTTCTTTGATTAAAACGACTTCAAATAATGGCAATATTTGATGACTTTCTTTATGGTCTTGAATGTTATTTTCTTCAGCAAATAAACCTTTTACTTCATAGTAGTAAATGCTACCATGCCCAATTGAGCTTAAAGGAGTCTAGGTCTCGTTAATTAAGGTTTCCATTTATAAACATTCTTGGTATTTGTGATGTGCCAGGAAGTACCCTGTGTTGTGCATACTTGTTATGAATAAGACAGACTGCCCTGACCTCATCTTACACTTTAGTGGAAGTTATAGATGAAAAACAAGTAAATGAATAAAAACATAAGTTATGTAGGGAGTGCTAGACACCCTGAGAAACAGGTTCAGAACAGGTTCAAGAATGAAAAGCTGATGGCATAATGGTTACATTGCTAGACTCCCACATAGTAGAAATGGTTCAAGTCCCAAACCCGGGGCCCAAAACTCACGCCAAGCACGTGTGCATGCATGGCCAAAATCCTGAGAAGAGGATGGATGAGAAGGGGTTGCAGCGTGGCCATCTGCCCCAAGAGGTGATTTCTCACTTTCTGTCTCTCTGTCTCTTTCTGTCTCTCTGGTGAGTGCTTAATTCCTATGGCAAAAATCTCTCTAAGGAAAACAATGAAATGTTATTGTATATGGTAATATCTTTGATTTGCTTATATGCTTTGAGAACCCACTTTGCATGCTGTAAAAACATACAATGATTAATTGTAAATTAAAAAAAAAAAGAAAAAGAAAGAGCATCTCTGAGCAGGTGATATTTGATCAGGTATCTAAATACAGTGAATGTTTGAGCCATAGGGATTCAATTTCCACTCTATCCCTAGTGAACACTCGATTATGAAGTTTTTAAACTGGAGTGACAAGCAAGGGTGTATTACCTTGCACTGCAAATGTAAGATTACTGCCTGTTTAGGAATTTATTAAATGACAGGCTAAACTGATTCAGTTTATGGAAGATGATTACCAGGACATATTTATCATGTTTCTAAACCATATAAACAGCATCATTTTCTCATCTATACTGAAAATATCGACCTCTTTTTAGGTATGCTACATATTTCATTTTTCTCAAACCTACTCCTGAAGAAAGGGATTATGAATTACATTTTCCAAGTGATAAAACTGAGAGTCAGAGAAATAAAGTGTGTACATGCATGCATGTCTGTAGGTGTATGTGTATGTAGAGATATATGTGAAGTATAGTATGTACATGTGTATAACAGTACATATTTAGAAATGAATAGTTACAACACTAAATTTCCATGATCACCTATCCTTATTTTAGCCATCACCACGGATAATATATGAAGTATTCTCTACTTTGTTTATAGTGTTCAGCACATGGAAACAAACTGACAAATTGTTTTATGTGGTGTGCTTTTTAATTTAGCATACAATTCTCTCTCTCTCTCTCTCTTTTTTTTTTTTTTTTTGGTTTATAATTACCATAGGGCATGTGGACTCTCTGGAGAGAGACAGAGAAGGGAAAGTGAAAAATCACCCCTTAGGTGGAATCGCCATGCCATAGTCCCTTCTCCTCCATTCTCTTAGGATTCAGGGTGTACATGCACACATGATTTTTAAGCCACTGCGTCTGGGACTCAAACCACTTCAGTCATGTGGGAATCCAGTGCCTTACCCACCATATCAACTTGCTAACCTCATATAACTATCTCTTCAAAAAAACCTGTAGGTTTTTAAAAACTTTAAAAAAAAAATCACCAGAAAATTTCTGTTTAACTCTACCACAAGTATTTACTTTGTTTCTAATGCGTACCTTTGCCCATCTTAACTTATAGTTGTGATGTTCATCATAGATCTCATATCTAGCTTCTTCGCTAATGACATGCTCATATGGAAACGCTTCTTCAGAAATTATTTTCTAAACTTTAAAAATTATCTTACTTTAAATATGATCATCATTGTTCTTTAAATTTAATTCTAAAAGTGTGTTAATAAAAGATTAAGTATAAAATAGGTATATTCTTTTGAGAAAATGTGTCAACAAACTACCCTTGAATAGAATCATAATAATGGTGACATATTTAGGCCAGTGATTTGACATTTTGTAAATAAGTGAGACAGTAAAAGTTTTGCATCTGTTTAGTCAACAGCAACATTAGAAATGCCCATGATTCAAGAATAAATGCTTTATCTGGTAGAGGTGATAAATTGACATGGAAGTTGGAATAAATTAAAGGCAGCCTAACATAATAATTCTTACGCTTTTGAATTGTAAGAATTCAAAACAATTTAAGAAGCTAGGATTTTATTTGGGAAAACAATCCAAATAGCTTCTCCATAATTGTCTCGTCACAGAACATGTTTTATTCTAATAATGGCTAGCATTATGATATTGCACTTCAAATTGCGTCCAAACTTATAAAGTACTGTATAGAAGGCTGTCTTTCTCAGCCACATACTTGGCCCGTGATATGCACGTATGCTTGTTAGGAGTGTATATTAGATTTGTCGCCATTATACAAGAAACATCTTTGTTGTCAGTTTATCAAATCTGAAGTATGTACATTTCCTGGGTGAGATGTAAGTGCTTAACTTTTGAAATATCAGTGAAATGATCAAAGTGTTTGAAGAGTTCGGATTCATCTTTTAGTTATTATTCAAAATAGATGCTGGGGGAAGAAAGGCCAAAATGTACATTGTGGTGGCTGTGCTTCCTTTCAATGCTTTCTGCATCGTAGTTACATATTTTAGAATCACCTGTAGAATTTGGACAACTCCTAAACTCAGACTCCCATCAAATGACACAGAATCTTTGAGAGGGGGACTCGGGCATCAGTAGATGTTCAAACTCTCCAGAGAATTCTAAGACTGAAAACCACTATGTCAGTGCAATGGCTCTTCATCTCGAGCAGACCTCAGACTCGCCCAGTGCTATGCATCACCAGG